AATTTAATGAAGTGCCTTTTCTTTATTTGAATGAGGGAAAGAATTGAAAATAGTAGCAGCGATTCATAATGGAGACGGATACAGTAAGATGTGGCCTCTATAATTGCATGCGATGGAAAGTGTGAAGGCAATGCAAGCAGTAATTGGATATAGCATTTATTATTATTAAACAAATAATTGGTGAGCAGTTATGAAGAGCAGAGCATTATGCAGGAGATCAGACAACTCAGCACACGACCCTGCCCATACTACAAGGGTGCATGCTCCCCCCTCCCGCATCATTGCTGTGATTTTTTTTTTTTTCTTTCGTTATTAATTATAGGACTCGCATCCTATACTATAATAATGATGCCGTTGTTATCATAGTCCTCCGACTTATTCAACCTGGATGCCGTTCGATGCCGCTAAAGTTTGGGACATGATACCCTAAAATATTTGACCTTTGCGTGATTGTGGATCAGAATGATGATGATTGTGCGCTTACGATGTCCTTTGCTGTTCCACAGATGCCTTTTTAAAAACTCCAAATTTTACATCACCATTCATTACTATAGCATTAATGCATTGCAACCCCTCGGCCGGCCCAATGACTCCTTCACTCGTTAAATCATCTGTAGCTGCAGGCTTCTCAAGATCCTAATTCCCATCTGCAAGGTCGTGATTGAAACATGCCATCAGATTGGTTGCAAAGGCTGACTATAGTATAATTAAATTGTTTAAGTTGATGTTTCGCTGTATTTTCTTACAAGCAGATTCGGTGGATCGTGAATAATGCATGATAAATCTGTAAATTGTTGAGTCCGACCTTTGTCGGGTTAATAGATTGAGCTGGAAAAACAGATTGGAACGAGAAATGGGGGAAGCAAAAAAGGCTCCAGTCAAACAAGAAGAACTAATTATTCTGGGCATGCAAGCAATTATGGTGATGACACCCAATCAAATGGTGAGAGGAATCTTTAACGGGCGGCAAAGTTCCTCCCATGCATGAAGAAGACAGACAAACATTTCTGGTCGCGAAAGCCGAATTAAAGTGTTTCTGAAAGTTGTGCTCATGGCGTATATATCTCATCATACTTTGCCGGCATTATTATCCCTGCAGGTTAATTCCTTCACACCAAGGTTCAGATAAAGATTATATTACATTGTGATCCACACTTGGACCAGTGGAAAGATCATTAGGATTTAGGAACTTAGCTTCTTGACTTAAACCTTGATTTTTCTTGGAAAACCGAAGCCACTGTTGAGATAACAGAATTGATTAGTGTCGGCCAAGGGATATTAGAAAAAGCCAACTTTTAAATCTGGTGATTATATATTAATTTCGGGAATGGGGGTCCACTTGCATGCTGAGTGAGAAATATGAGTATATAATTATGATAGAATAATGATGATGATCGTGATAAAGACACACGATAACGCAAATCAGTCTGTTCAGAGAAATAATGATGATGGGAATGAGGGGGGAGGGATAAATTGGTTTTCATGATGATAACAAAGAGACAGAGAAGCATAAAACGATATATCGGGCTTATAAAGAAAGGATGATTTTTGGGTAATCATGAGGAGGATTGCTTGAATGTTGACCAGAGAAGTGATGAGATTCCTTCAAACACACTCACCCGTGTGTCCAATCATTTCCCCTCACGCCATTCAATCACTTTGTTCCCTTTGGCCTTTTTCTCAAACTTCCCATGCTCCAATATTCCATCTGAGACGTGAGGCTGGCACTTGACAATATATTATCATTTTATACAAACATAGAATAATAAAAAAGAAAATTCATAGAAATTGGACGAGCTTCCCCACTCACGTCATCTCTAAGCTGTCAAGAGGCTTCTGGGGATGAGCTTTGCCTCGGCAGGGAGCTGGCCGAGCGGGACTCGATGATCATTCGAGAGGTGTCCCTGAAAGGCTCGAAAGGAGGGAATTGGGCTAAGCAGCTTGTTGACTAGACATGATTCTGGGCTACGCAACGCAAGGAATGACCTGATGGGTCCTATTCCTTTCATTTCAAGGCACGGCCTGTATCTGCATGTGGTCTCTTACACAGACCATCCTATCGCTCCTAGCCCCACAAAGGAACGATGGCTATGCCAGTGAACCAGGCACATCTTTACATGGCACATGGCAGTGCAGCCCAATCATAGTCATCAGGGTGTGACTTTTGCTATTAATGCGTATGCTACTTTCAGCTTTCAACTGCCCACAAGGTCGAGTATGGATTTTCGATTTTGTCAAACCATGGGGACATTACAATTTGAAATCAAATCATATCACCGGGTAGTCTTTTTTTTTGCCTAAAGAAAAATTTGGCGTCCAGAGATGCTTATTAAAGCTGATCGAAAGATACTATACGTAGATCCATAAACTCATCAATCATTAAAAAAAAAAAATCTTGCAGTTAATAGCCCACCAAAGTACCTTACAACGTTACTTGTGTTCAAGGGCTAATGTGAAATTAAATGCAGGATACTCAAACACAGACTTAGGGGTTAGGGGTGAACAAAACCAAACTGTAACTGGAAACCGAACCGAACCGAATTTAATTTCGATTTTTCGGTTCGATTATTTCAGTTTTCGGTTACATATTCGGTTTTTACTTTTGTAATAATTTGGTTTCAGTTAGTAGAAAAAGAATTCGGTTATAACCGAAAAACCAAAATAAATATATTATATTTATATATAATAAATATTATTATAATAAATATATATGTGGGTTTATGTGAACTCTTTAAATATTTTATATTCAATAAATATGGTTATAATAAATATTATTGTAATAAATCACATTAAATGATGAAATATTTACTAATTAATTGTTGTAATTGTGTTTTATTATTATTATTATTAATTTAAAATCACTTACATATTTATATATTTCTATTAATCGGCTAACCGAACAGAAATATTTTGGTCAATTCGGTTATCGGTTTCGGTTCGGTGTTTAAAATTTACTCTATTCAGTTATTCAGTTAATTCGTTGAATTGAAAAACCGAATACTCACCTCTACACAGACTACCCCATAAGGGAAAACTTGACTGAGAAGCATGGACAAACGCATGGTCGGTGTCGATTGGCTTCTACGCCTTCACAACACGGCACGATAATTAGCATTCTAAAACAAATAATCTCGAAGCATAGCATTAATCACAATAATTTCTTAAAACAAGGGGCTTGGCTTGCTATTGAGTACAACAAGCAATACCTCCTCTCATCAGGGGGACCGTAAGAACTGTAGCCCATTAAATTTAGGCTGCGCCTTCAAGGCTAAAATGGGTATCACATGTCAATGTATGACGATAAAAGCATTTTCTGTTAGTTCTCCTCTTTTATTTTAAAAAAAAAAAAAAAAAAAGAGAGAAGAGAAGAATTCAGTTTCCTCCTCTTGGATAATCGGAATCAAACACAAGGGAGCAGTGTAATAACATTCGAGGGGTGTCTTCCTTTACGAACACAGCACCGCCACACTTGCTGAAAGTTCATCATATCTTTCACGAAACAGGATATTTTAGTTTCAAGTCGTAATCAGTTTAAACATCTTCGCCTAGGCCTAGGAGCACGAGAGTACTCTCCAGTTACGTCAGAAACTCCTTCTGGACAATGATACCGGGGAATCAATTTCCACTGCAGTGTCCAGTGGATTATCTGAATTTATAACAGAAGCAATGCTTGAATATGGATCTCTGTGATCCACCTGGGGAGCTTGTTCTTGGTTTCCGGCTCTCGCACGGGTCCGGAAATATGTCTCCACCATTCGCTCCGCAGAGCTTAGAGCTGAGGAGAGAGATGAAAGTGTTACTCTGCGTGACTGTGTTCTTCAAAAAGGAAGAGATTGCAGCCTGCGATTATCCGCTGGATCAAGATTAACCATATTGCTTCCCGTTAGATACCCAGGACTATTGTCAATTTTCAATTCCTAGGAATGTTTTTTTTTAGTTATATAAATTCAGCTTCTATCATTAGTCATCATCTGTCGGCACCTTCCTATCATAAATAGTGAAATGCCACAGAATTCTCTAGCATCTTGTCTACACTCCGCACCACAAATGAATGGGGAAAACGCTGGGCATCAATTTTCGCCGACTGTTTGCATAAATAAGAATGTTTATGCGTGATGATGAAGGAAGCACAGAGAAAATCATTTAATGAATTTTAAATAGTGAAACCTGATTATGAACCCGTGATTACTCGCAAGTACTATGACGACAGGTGGGACATGGCTCACTAGAAAACTAAAATCCTTTTCCGAAAGAAGACGACAGTAAATTACCAAATGGTGAACAATGCTTAATTAGTCAATTAGTCGAAAGAATTAACGTGACTAATTGAAAGGTGAAACACAGTCCATTTATTTATAGTATTCCAGAGGCTCTATACACAGGGACGTTTAGACAGATTAAGTGCAAAAGGGAAACCGAAGAAAAATAGAAATGAAAGACAGAAAGAGGCCTTGTCTTCGTGTGGATATAGTGGTGCTGTAATTTCCAGCTTCCAATTCAATTAAAAAAAATCACACATGGTCAGTGACCATCATCATCCAGCACACGCATTAAAAATATTAGTACGAGAGTTGAGTCATTTCAAGACCCTAAACTTATTTTAACGACATTAAAATATATATATATTCTTTATTTTACATGTTCAAGCATCATTTACCAAAAATGATTCGACTCATTCATGCTGGACCAATTTTTATTCATCGGACTAACTTCTTCAACTAATATTATTATTTTTGACCAATTTTCTCCTCAATCACCGTGAGACTGCTCGCCGCCAGTCAGACCAATTGATGCAACTCGGCTCAAGGACGAGACTTTTCGGCCAGAAGAACAAGACATTAAACTATCAAACTATTTCTTCTGAAGACTGTCAGTTAATAAAACATTGGCGTGTGCATAATTATTCCATAAAACACCGGTTGATGAAGTACTCTAACTGTTTTAATTTATAATATTTCACCCAAAAATTTTGAATATAGAAAAGCGAGAACTCTTTGCAATACCGGCTCAACAAGAACAGAAGAATTGGAGGGGATTATTAATTTACAATGACCCGAGAAGACACCTGACTGTTTGTCTCCTCTTTCCTCACCATCTATTGCCTCTGCTATATGCTATATCCTCACATTCATATAGTATAATCATTTTGAACATTTAACAGGGGTAAAAAAAACTATCGCTATACCAAGCCCAGGAAACAGATAGGACAAAAGTGGGATGTATTATATCTGCTTCTGCACGAGCTGAGGTTATAAAGATGTGATTGGCGGTTCAACTCAAGGTCTCTTGCTCTGTTTCTGATTCTGATATTGTCTGACAAGAAGGTGAGCATAGAGAATCTCATTCCAAGCATCAGGAACACCGGGAAGGCACCAGTGACTACAGTCCTGAATCATTAACGGTGATCTCCTTTCTTCTGGTGATAGGTTTTGCTTCCTATATATCGAGGGATGACCATCCTTTCGAAAATCCGTCATCCTCGTAACATTCAGATACGTCACACGCGTTTTCATGTACTTTATCACCTTTTCCAGAACCTTCATCTTTGGTGGGTATTCTGTCAGGTATTTCTCGTTCTCGATAGGCGCTGTTTCGCTGTCACATTGGCCTCCAGAATTCCACTGTCCTCCACTTTTGAATTCACAACAAGACACCCATTTTTCCACGGATAATCAGCCTTCTAGTTTCATGGACTAATACTAATGATGTGACGCTAATTAATAAGTAGTATTGTTTTACCTGAAATGGGAAGCAGAGTAGCCTCTGAAGAAGACCACAGACTTGGATGGATTCACGTTGGCATCAACCCATCTGCTCCATGTTGTTATAGCTCTTCGAAATGCCTCAAGAACATTAAGTTCCTCGTACACATGGCTACCTTCTTGGTAATAGTCCTTCCTGCAGAATATAGGTTAGGAGACGGGTTGAAATTGCAGCCTGATCTCTAAACAGGATATGATAATATGTTTGTACCCTGTCGAAGTTTTTTCATGTGTCCACCAGTGGCCAGTGTTGAAGATCATAATATCTGCATCTTTGTATTCATCAGAAGACTTCCCGACCAAATCCAGACGAAGAGTTTGCTTCGTCGTTCCATTGTTGTCCGCGGTTTCCCATTCTTGAACTAAGAATGGAGATACAAAAAGCTCTACGGTGAAGTTATAGTCCTACTCGCCGGTAACAACCAAATGAGCAACGTTAGGGGAATGAAAATATCCCAAAAAACCAGAAATTTTTTATTTTCATTCAGGAGAAGAAATGGAAATTTAAGAATACCGACTTCGAACACAAAAGAATAGGAGGCTTCCCCACGGAACTGGACCCTGCCATTTGCTTCATAAACTTTGCTTTTATTTTGGACAGAGTTTCTCAGTATGCAAATTAGCGACTCCCACATATTTCTGTTGATGGAATCGCCAACAAAAACCAACCGTTTCCCTCTTAACATATTTAGAAGACGATGGCCGTCCAACCTGTATTTACAGATACTAAGCATTACTTTTCTTAATTGCATCTTTACAAGACTGTTAAATATATCGAAGAATGGGAAGAGAACAGGGCAAAGCAGAACACAAACAAATCAATTGGCAAAGTAAATCAACAACACAAGTCGCGTAAATTTTGTGCAACTTTTACGGATACAAACATTCCAGTGAAGGGGCTTATATAAAAAAAAAAAAAAACATTCCAGTGAAGGGAAAACCTCAGTGCCAAACAACTGCAGTTACAGAATAACAGGAAACCTAACGGATTTTGTTCGAAACAAACGACAAGACAACAAAATTCATCGAATTCGCATACCTCGGAAGGCTGCACCCCTTAGGCTTCCACTTGTATTTCTGATAGTTTTTATCAGGCCTGCCATTCTGAATACAATCGAACTGCTCATCAATCAGACTGCAAGAACCGGGTTTATAAAGAGGATACGAATCGTCCCTAACCCATTCCCCATCAAATAAATCACATTTCATCAGAGACTCAATCAACTCATTCTTATGTCCTGTAACTGTCGAATTTCCCTGCTTCTTCGCCAAGGAAGCTGTATAATTATTCGACGCAACACCCTTCACTCCTTCAACTGAACTCAGATTCTTCTTCGGGTTAACTGGGACACGTTGGAGAGGGGGAGACGCCGAAACTTTTGGTGAGGCGGCAGCATTTGTGGATTGATTTGCCTTCACTGCTTTACTTTCACTGGACTTCACAGGGCTGCGAGTATGATTTACAGCGCCGGATGGTTGCTTATTCACAATGGGAGGCGGCTTCACTGGCAAAACTGATGTCCGATTACTTGACGTCTTAAAATTAGAAGAGGGAATTGCGGTGTGATTTGTGGCTGGAAATTTATTTTGAGATGAAATAAAAGAACTTTGGGTTTTGGAAGTGGATGGTTTGGAACTTGAGTTGGGAGATGAAGAAGTGACATTAATAGATCTAGAAGTGGTGTTGATGTGAAGGGGATAGCTTTGGGGATGGCTGGGAGATGAAATGTTGGGGAAAAAGTAGTAGAAAAGGGAATTGAATTGAGATTTATATGAAGCAGACGCAGAACTTGTAGCGAAAATATTGGTGAACCCCGGAGAAGAAGCATTTGGTGAAGGAGAGAAGGCTAAGAAAACAGTGAAAGCAACAAAAACGAACATGAAGCCATAGGCAAAGGGTACTGATCTTCTGGTCTTGAAATGAGCGAGGAAGCTCATAATGTCTGGGATGAGGTTCCCTCCACCGAGGGGAAGGTACTTGGTGGCTTCAGCCATGAATGGAGAGGGTCGGCCGTGTTATCGTCCCTATCTTGAACACAGAGGGAGGGAGGGAGGGAGAGATGATGGAGAATATGTTTCTGTCAACAGGGTCGCGAAAAGAGAGAACCTGAGCGATATATGGAAACAAAAGAGAAAAAGAAAAGGTTCTGGAGAGAGAAGTTGGGTTAGTTTGGTTTACAGAAAATATGTGACTTGTGAAATTTGTGAATTGTGAGTGGGGGAAGGCGATTTTCCATTGTCGCGGGTCATGATCATGAAAATATGGAGAGGGAGATGCAGAAAAGGGAAAGAGGTTATGTTATGAATGTGGCCGTGCTTACCAGATTATCTGCAGAAATGCCACCACTCTCATGTCTGTTCCCTCCATGTGTGCGCGCTTCCATCAAGGTTTATTCCTTCCAAGCCCACCACTCTGGCCACATATCAACTTTCGACAAGAATCGCCAAACGGCGATCACGTTCAAAATATTTACACAACATTATTATTTTTATTTTTAGAATATTTATTGTTATCTAACTTAATTTTCGTTTTTTTTATATGCTTATTTTTTTGCGTGGCACCAAATGAGGAAGGACTGTAAATTAATGTCTAATTAGGTTTTTTGTATGACGAATAATATAGCATGATTTTGTATTGATACTGTCACGGATCTACAGTTTATTGATATTGGCCATTTATCATTTTTATTAAATTATTAATAAATTGGAGATTGCATCAGCTTTGTGAAAGTTACGTAGGGGGCCATGTGATTTTGGCTTTTGAAATTGAACGAGTAAATGAAATATGAAGTGATGGTATGTGCTACGTATTACGTAATTTAGAAATTGACCGTACCAATGAAACTCCGTACGCGTCAAGAGTCCAAATGCCTTGCTTGGTTGGACCCCAGCTGTAAGGTTGTACCTGAATTCCCATCCCTTGTCTTTTTTCTTATTCCTGGTCTCTCCACGCGCCATTGATAGTAAACCACGCTCAATTAATTAACCAGTATTCAATATTTCAATGTAATGGCAAAAAAAAAAAAAAAAAACTGTATTCAATGAACATCTCTTCATATGTGCTTTAATAACTTATAAGTAGTTTTTTAATTATAATTTACAGAATATGAAATGAAATAAATATATAAAAGAAATTTTATCTTAACTTACATAAAACGTACTTATAGACCAGGAGAAGTGATCCAGAGGACTCAACATGGTCTACATATATAATGATACTGCTTTAGGAGGTTTTTTTTTTATGGTAGACAAATTAAAGAAAAAAAATGATAGTATGAATACCAAACTAAATATTAAAAAAGGATAGAATTCAATGACAACGGGTGTGAATTTTCTAAAGTCAAAGATTAAGAAGAGATATATAATATTTTTTTAATCCTAAATGCAGTGGGGAGAGCTGTCGGTGATTGATTCCCGCACTCATCGTTCTTCTCCTTCGTGTGTTTTTGCTGTTTGTGCATTCACTTCAATTTAATTCTAATGACTTTTTTTTTAAAAAATCTTTTTGTCACTTAATCCACCTAAACCCTCATCTATATAAAAGGCACTTAAAGGATGAATTTTGTAGTTGTTGCGTCAATACTATGGTTAGGCAGCGTTCATGATCAAATGTTATGTTCGTATTCAGATAAAATTAGTTCACGATTCATGATTGCGGCCTCCACCTCCATCCATTTTCTTGCTAAACCCGCAGCCTAATTCGGTGGAAACCATGTTGTTGCATCCCAGATTTAATATCTCAGGTCTCATCCGCCATCCATTCTTATTAAATCCACATGGTTGACATTACAACGAAGAAAGTATAATTTTATTGTCCCGAAATAAGCTCTCAAAAACGAGAAGCCAATAATTGATACTAAAGTATGATCTTGAGAGATCAAATTAAATAGACGAGATGGAGTACTGTGATATGGGAATGAGAGAATGACGGACGAAATGAGTCCACATGGCATTCAGTGGTGTCGCCGACACTGCGAGGGAGCACGACAAAAGCCAACAATTATATGCTGACTTTGCGTGCTTCGTTCACATGGCACCACAGAAAAATCACCCCCTCCACCTAATTCACAAATTTTCTTTAAGAAAAAAAGATTTTTAACATAGAAACTAATTAATTAATTTGAGTTAATTAAATAAGTTTGTTAAGTTAGTTATTTGTAATAAATAAGTATTATCTTTCATAAAATACTCTTATTAATTATATATATTAGCTAAAACTATTATTTAATAAAATCTTTAATATGTATAATTAGTATAAAGATTATTTTAAAAAATATAGATAAATACGAGAGACAAAGTGAATTGAAGTTTTGTATTTGAGATCAAATTAAAAATCAAACTAGCTTTTATATTAAAAATATGGGTGATATTATTTATTCATAATTATTATATCAAAATTTTGTAATGTTAATTTTACAAACTGGGGCATTAATAGCGCAATCAACATAACTAAATTTCTCGTGGTGCGCATCAAAACAAAGCCCCGAAAGAATCCCATAGGTAAAATGGAGAGAGTGTTAATGATGTTAAAACACAGTAATTAGTCCTCATAAATATGTGCCAGATGCGGCGAAACAAGGGTCCAACACGTGTCCACCCTCAAAACAGTCCAAACCCGAGAGTCATTTGTAAGTTCTCCGTTCTGACTAGGACAGCGAATATATGGGTGTTTGGGGCCAAATAATAAACAAACAGAGAGCGTATGTTTACATTTAATTTCATCATTTTGGAGCCATACGTAAATTGGCAGACCTCACATGGATAAACTGCTTTAATCCCCGGATGGACGCAAAAGCAAGACTAATTAGGCTATATATATATATATAGTACTCCCTCTGATCTTATACATAAACTTCAAATAACGAGATCACATTTAATGAGCTAATAGTTCAAATTAGTTAAAAATAATAAATAAATAAAAAATATATTTTTATTTTTAAAATTTGTTCTTATTTTTAAGAGAGTAAATGGGAGTCAATAAATAAAAAAAAATTATGAAAGAAAATATATGAGAGTAATATAAGAGAAAGTACTAAATGCAGTTAATTAAAAACAAAATAGGAAGCAAAGTAATAAATACTTAGATAAACTCAAAAATAAAACTTATATTTTAAATTAGACCTATTTCTAAAAATAAAACTTATATATGAGACCCGGAGGAGTATAACGTGGAGATTCATGCATCCAACAAAATTGACGAAGCTGCCTGCACCATTATCTTCCATTTTAATTTCGCTGCGACTTTCAGCTATTTCAAGCAACCATATGCGTTCCCTTTCTATGTACGTACATTGGAAAAGTACTCCCTCATTTATTTATGTCTTTTCCCAGTCCACTGATCATGACTTTAGCCTTAGGACGTGCACCCATCGAAGGGTTTATTATTTGTTAATTAGGCTCACGGCGGTAACTCTCCTCAATATATTTTTTCCCTTTCCCAAATTCTGTTATTTAAAAGGAATTGAGTTCTTTCCACAACGCTTCTTTCGTATGCATTGGAGTATATATATACACACACACCCTACTGAAAAATAACAAGATGATCATGCACATCTTAGCAGCGTTCATGAAAGAAGAAGAACATCACTGCTCATGAAATGAAAATGATTTTGAACGATTAACTTGTAACTTTCAGCAACTGGAAGCAACCATGCGTGTTTCCTTCTTAATGTAATTATATATTGGTAAAATTCAGAAGAACCGCCTCCATTTGCTCCTAATGGAAAAGTGCTCCTCTCCATCACTTTAGTCATACGGCGTGCAGCGATACATGGCAGGGCTTTTATTTTTGTTATTATGTTCAAAGGATCCCAACAATGCCTGCATGGAGCCATATGGAATAACCTTCTAAAGATGCACCCTTATCAGCTGCTCTTCTTCCCTTTTATTTTGTTGTTATTTTAGGTTTGTGGTGTTATTCTGAAATTATTGCCTTTTTCAGTGTTCAAATGTTTAGTTTATTTTTTTCCCCAACTTTACTCTCATATACAATTCTGTCATTTATTTTTGTTCTCAGCTATTGCATTGAATAAGGACTCGAAATTAAGCGAGTATTAGTAGCAAAACCCCTAAAAAGAAGAAAAAAGAAAGGAAAAGGAAAAGAGGGGGGAGGGGGAATAGAATATTGCAATTAATTGCTTTTCCCACACGCGCGGGCCCTGTTTCCAAGACGTCAATTTCTCGGTAGTTTTCGACCACCACCCTCCCATTTCAACCAATTTATAAGGAGTGTTCTCCTGTACTTTGAATTTACAGTAGCGCCTATCACCTCCAAATTCAAAACGGCTCAAAGCACGATCTTTGGCGTGATTAACTCGACCCCCGCCCTTTTCTTTTCTTTATAAGAAAAGGTAGAGACCAGCTGCCCTGCCGGAAACAATCCTTAGCTTGTTTCCTTTTGGATTAATTGTCCCTCTCATATTCGCAAGCATGCTCTTTGGGCCTTCAGTCTGGGTCTTTTTTTCTATATTGGTCTGAACTACTCTATTATTGTCCATGAGTCTTCCCCGATGGATCGTCAGCCGCGGCAGATGCAAAAGCAAGCGGAATAGAGAGCCATGGTAAGCTAAACTCGTCATCCTCAAGACCCCTACTCTTCAAATCGAACTAGGCCGAATACCCGGCATAGCCGTGAGAATTTCACACGCATAGAACCAGAAACCTGAGAAAATTGAAGCGTCCGGCTTCTCCCACTGCTCTTCCTTTACCATAAACGCACAGTTTTTGCGCACAAAAAGAGTGATGTTGGTCTTTTTTTTGTTAACAAAAAGTGGCCAACGACGTTCATCGTTGTTCTCACAGCCATGGGTTGACCGTGACAACTGCTCACGCCTCGTTGATAACCTAGAGTTTTCACAAGATCCCTAGAACTTATTCTGTGTTTTTCCTTTTGCTCGACAACACAAAAACCAATTCATAATACCATATGCATACCCCCGTCACATCTAAACTGATGTGGAGTTCAGTCCCAAAAAAAAAAAAACTGATGTGGAGCTCCAGCTTGCATTTGAAGGCTCCCATCGAAAAGAAGAGCAGAGAAGCAATTAAAGCCGAGGAGGCTCTTGATGACACTCTTTTTTTTTTTGTTTTTTCCGGATGTCATCTAACTTTTTGTCTCCACTCAGATCCTTTTCTATCCATCATCGTCCCTTTTTTTTTGGGTACATCTTCGTTTTCTGGGTTTGGCATGGTTATACGCAACTTGTGAGACGGAGAACACCATTCGGCAGACCACAGGGCACGGAAAGGCCCAATCCCTATGAAGAGGTTGTTGAGTTGTAAGAAACGAATATAATACATTGAGAACACCCAACGCCAACCATGGGGTCGCTTTGGCCGAGTGGTTAAGGCGTGTGCCTGCTAAGTACATGGGGTTTCCCCGCGAGAGTTCGAATCTCTCAGGCGACGCAAAATATTTTGTCTTTTGTGCTGCCAAACTTTACAACGTACACGTGGATGGACCGTAGTGGATTACATTTCTGGGTCTTTGGGAGCGTCTAGTTGAATTTAGAGAAAAAGACAGAAAAATGTACCTTTAATTTCAGAAGCCCAAAAACGTCCGTTGAATTCAAAAAATCTCATTTTGGTACCATGAGACCAAACTGGGATTATTATGTGAAAGGAAAAGACCAAATTGCCCTTCATTTTAAATATTATTTTAAAAATATCACAGTCCTTAGTGGCCGGCCGGTCACCGGACCTCCGACGGCTGCGGTCCCCGGAGCTCCGGCGACCAGCCGACAATTGGTCACCAGAGCTTCGTTGGTCGGATTTTTTTTTTTTGAAAATTTTTACAACTTCAATATAACGGTTAACAACTTTTGTAATGCTATTAACAATTTCAGTATAGCAATTAACAACAGCTTTTCTAGGAAATTCAACAAATTTCGGCGAGCGGAAATAATTTTTTTGAAAATTTTTACAACTTCAATATAACCGTTAACAACTTTTGTAACGCCATTAACACTTCAATATAGCAATTAACAACAGGTTTTCTGGGAAATTCAACAAACTCCGGCGATCGAAAACAATTTTTTTGAAAATTTTTACAACTTTAATATAACGGTTAACAACTTTTGTAATGCTATTAACAACTTCAATATAGCAATTAACAACAGGTTTTCTGGGAAAATTCAACAAACTCCGGCGACCAGAAACAATTTTTTTGAAAATTTTTACAACTTCAATATAACCGTTAACAACTTTTGTAACGCCATTAACAACTTCAATATAGCAATTAACAACAGGTTTTCTGGGAAATTCAACAAACTCCGGCGATCGAAAACAATTTTTTTGAAAATTTTTACAACTTTAATATAACGGTTAACAACTTTTGTAATGCTATTAACAACTTCAATATAGCAATTAACAACAGGTTTTCTGGGAAATTCAACAAACTCCAGCGACCGGAAACAATTTTTTTGAAAATTTTTACAACTTCAATATAACGGTTAACAACTTTTGTAACCCTATTAACAATTTCAGTATAGCGGTTAATAACAGGTTTTTGAGTTTGTTAAAGGCATTATTGAAGTTATAAAAAAGCCACTTTTTGAATTTTTTGAAAAACTTGTTGTTAACTGCTATATCAAAGTTGTTAACCGTTATATTGGAGTTGTAAAAATTTTCAAAAAAACGTAATTGTTAACGTTATACTGAAGTTGAAAATTTTTACAACTCCAATATAACGGTTAACAACTTTTATAATGCTATTAACAACTTCAATATAGCAATTAACAACAAGTTTTCTGGGAAATTCAACAAACTCCGGCGACCGAAAATAATTTTTTTGAAAATTTTTACAACTTCAATATAGCAATTAACAATTTTTGTAACCCTATTAACAACTTCAGTATAGCGGTTAACAACAGGTTTTTGAGTTTGTTAAAGGCATTACTGAAGTTATAAAAAAGCCACTTTTTGAATTTTTCAAAAAACTTGTTGTTAACTGCTATATCAAAGTTGTTAACTGTTATATTGGAGTTGTAAAAATTTTCAAAAAAACGTAATTGTTAACGTTATACTGAAGTTGAAAATTTTTACAATTTCAGTATAACGGTTAACAACTTTTATAATTCTGTTAACAACTTCAATATAGCAATTAACAACAAGTTTTCTGAGAAATTCAACAAGCTCCGGTGACTGGAAATAATTTTTTTTTTAAATTTTTACAACTTCAGTATAACGGTTAACAACTTTTGTAACGCTATTAACAACTTTAGTATATCAGTCAACAACAGATTTTTTTGAAAAATTATATAACTCAAAAACCTGTTGTTAACCGCTATACTGTAGTTGTTAATAGGGTTACAAAAGTTGTTAACCGTTATATTGAAGTTGTAAAAATTTTCAAAAAAATTGATTCCGATCGTCGAAGTTTGTTGAATTTCCCAGAAAAGCTGTTGTTAATTGTTATACTGAAGTTATTAATAGCATTACAAAAGTTGTTAACCGTTATATTGAAGTTGTAAAAATTTTCAAAAAAATTGTTTCCGGTCACCGAAATTTGTTGAATTTCCAGAAAACCTGTTGTTAATTGCTATATTGAAATTGTTAATGGCGTTACAAAAGTTGTTAACGGTTATATTGAAGTTGTAAAAATTTTCAAAAAAATTGTTTCCGGTCGCCGGAGTTTGTTGAATTTCCCAGAAAAGCTGTTGTTAATTGCTATACTGAAGTTGTTAATAGTATTACAAAAGTTGTTAACCGTTATATTGAAGTTGTAAAAATTTTCAAAAAAAAAAAATTCCGACCGACGGAGCTTCGGTGACCAATTGTCAGCTGGTCGCCGGAGCTCCGGTGACCGGCCGGCCACTAGGGGCTGTGATATTTTTAAAATAATATTTAAAATGAAGGGCAATTTGGTTTTTTCCTTTCACATAATAATCCCAATTTGTTCTCATGGTACCAAAATGGGATTTCTTGAATTCAGCGGATGTTTTTGGGCTTCTGAAGTTAAAAGTGTATTTTTCTGTCTTTTTCCCTTGAATTTAAATGATAGATTTTGTGAAAAAATGATTTTGATAAAATGAGAATTTTTAAATAGTTGTTATCAGAAGCACTTTTTATATGTGAAAATTACTAAAAAAATATAAGTTAATATGATAATTACATAAACTAGATTTATAATATATTTTAATTTGAAGGAATAAAATTGTTAATAATATATATTTTACTAACATAATTAATAATATATAAGATAATGTAATTAATAAATAATTAATATGTGTATATATTTTTATAAAATATAAGATTAAATATATTTATGAAAAAATAATTGAGAAGTGTTAAAAATATATTATCATCGAGAGCTACTCTGATAAACACAATCATACCTTTCAATTTGAGCCACAAGCAAAATAGATTTATTTCTTCTGAGACCATAGTTTTGAGTCTAAAATCATGGTTTCTGTTGTTTCCTTAAGTATTTGGCAATTTTTTTTTACCTAAATTATGATTTGGACACTTACCCAAACAGGCCCTTCGCCTTTCGTTCTGCCAGTCTTTACAACGTGGACAACGGACAATTAAATTTATTGTCTATTTATTATTCTTTTATTGACGAGAAAAATATTTTTAGATTTACAAATCACTTCTCCCCCTCTTTTTCCACGTCGAGCATCCCAGTAAATCTGCGTTGTTTTTTAATGCTATTTTTTTAAGGCTAAAACAGTGGCATATCTATTACCACTGCTCAAAAGCTTTCATATAAATACACCTAAATAACCCCCTTCTTTCTCCTTTCATTATCCATCAGCTTTTAAAAGGGACGAGGTTATCAAAGGCGTGAACTTAGCTTGGTCAACAGATCAACATATTGGCTGGACTTGCCAAATCCAAATGACCATCCCATCCCCAACCTATGATCCTTCCAGCTTCTTCAATCTTTTGTTGGAAAGGATGCTGCTCTCTACATGACTACGCAATCAAAGTGGCCCGTTTTACAGTCACTTTACTTCAACCTTCCTAAACCCTCCACTCCAACAGATTTTTTCTCCCATCTACCAAAGTGTTTGGCTCAAATACATAAAACTCCAAACGTTGAGCGTAGTTATTTTTATGGAGGGTGAAAGCAGCATGCCCGTCGTCAAGGACCAAAACTAAACAACAGTCATCATGCAGCAACGAAATCAGCCGGAGCGCCAGATCTTTCAACACCAATAGGGAAAAGTTGAACCAATTTCGCAACAGGCTTAATTTCTTATCAACCTAAATTCGATCAAAATCATTATCCATACTCCTCTTGCTTTGCTCTCGGAATTCGCCAGCAAGAAATTTCACATTCTTTCACATCATAATTCCTGGGCTTAATTCCGGGGATCTAACTAGTCATATTACAGCAATTGTGATTGAAAAGTAAGTCACATCCATGAATAAATTATAGCTTATTAGAACTTTCCTACTGTTCTCCCAATCTGACTCCCCCATGAATATCTAATCTAGTAACTATTGCTCCAATCACATTAAGTTGAGAACCAGAGGGTCTAATAATTCAATGACAACATGCAATCTAATTCGAGAACAGAAATGAGCAAATAGTCAGACGCTACACACCCTTTTAGCCACCACAATATCATCGTCACCACGGTAATTTTGCTCACGTTCATGGGTGCATTCAAGAAGCAAACAAAGTAGGGTGGTACAGTTGAAAAGAAAGAGCTGATTCCTCCCATGACAATAAAAGCTGCTGCAAAATACATGCAATGTTCGTAGTGGGAATATGATTACAGATCTCATTTAAACCTCATATAGATCCATACAATAAAACGAGACGCACGAGATCCGTTTCAGTCGAAGAATCCGTATCATTTGAGCCAAACATAAACCAAGTGTAATGGAGTGCACAACATCCAATGTTAATCCTAACATTTCCTTGCTGATCAGTTAAAAATTTGACAAGAGAAACAAAAGGCCTCACATACTAGAAAGATCATATGAAAATTTTAAGTCCAAAGCCAAAAACTGCCCGTATCCTTTGGAAAATGAGATCCCGCCATCCCCTCTCTGTGTTCTCCACCACTGTGGCATTCCCATAGCTGCATTTGCAAGCAATCAGAGCTGTCAACTTTAGGGTCATAAACATGAGGAAATATCCAGGAAATAATAAATAAACACTCACCTGTCTTCCTCGGGCACATCAGAATGTGTCAGCTTGATGATCGTAACCCCAGGTTCAGGTTCCTCAAACACAAGTCTAACCTGCAAAATTCATTTCCACCGGTACATTAATCTATCACTTACTCATGTAAAAAGAATCCCATCCAAATCCTACAACATTCGGGGTAAAAAAAAACAAAAAAACAAAACTTACGGTAGAATGAATCCCATCAGGCCAGTTCCCAAACCTCCATTTCTGCACAATTAGTTTAGCTTCCTGTAATTCCACATTTGTTCCCGTCACCGACCCGTTAAAAATGAAAAATTCTCCACCAACATCCTTGCTTATCTTCGCATCGCTCTGCGTAAAACCTTTCCACCTATTCTCATCCATCAATATCTCATATAAATCCCTCGCTCTACAACTAAACTTCTCTGTCAAGGTGATTGTTTTACGACCTTTCTTGCTATCACTCTTGACCTTTTTCTCCACCGCAGCCTCTTTCTTGGGCGCAGCAGCGGACGTTGAGGCAGCTGGATTCTGCTGGGTCACTTTTTTGGGTTCCAAGTCGTCTTTGACAGGTCCACCTTTCGCCATACTCTCGACCCAAATCCTGATTTTGTCCAAGATTAAAGGTTTACCCCGTGAAATCATGGCCTCCTTGAGCCTCTTGCCAATGGGCCCTTCGTCATTGACTGTGAACTTAAGCTCAGGGTCCTCATCGGCATTCTCGTCGGAGATATAGGGAATTTGAACGGTCCCATCGACCTTGAGCAAAGATTTGCCGTCGGACTCCTTGGCTTCTCCTTCCCAGGACAAAGAGAGACTGAGCTCGTAACCGGGAATGATTTTACCCTTTCGAACATTGACATAGGCTTCGCCATCGACCTTGTCAACGTTCTTGGTCTTGATGAACAAGTTGCCCTCGCCATCAAGAACGGTGAGATCGGAGAGAAGCTTGGAGAAGAGGTTTCTGGACCACTCGAGACAGTTGGTTTCCGCCCAGTGCCAATTGTGAACGTTGGCGCCGTCGGCCCTATCCTCGACGATCCAGCGCTTGTCGCCCTCGCCGAACCTAGCCATCGATCAAGAGAAAGAAAGAGCTCAATGAGAAGCGCAGGGCAAGGATAGGTAGGATCCGAAATGTTTGGGCAAAAGCAAGAGGAAAGGAAGACAATAAAAGAACGGGGTCAAAATCTGGACTCTTCTGAATTTAGAAGGATCCAGAAACTCATCCAAAACTGAGACCCAAGAATGGTCCAGAACCCTCCCAGGCCCACTTAACCTCCTGCTTTGCTTGTTCGCGCCAACCTAATATCTAAGAACTCAGAAGGGCATTCTTAGAATCTTAGGGGCGAAAAAAACACAAAATTGACTTATATCAAATTTCATTAAAAAAAGAAAAAGTTAGTTCATGCGACTTGTGTAAAAGACTGGAAGTATATTGATCTAGAATTTTTGACTTGAATTAACTTTAAAATATATATAGCCTAGGATATGAGAAGTTAATTTTAAAAAAGTTTAAATACTAAAGAGATTATTGCCTATACTTTTTGGAAAAAATTAATATTATACTAACTCTTATTCTTAATATAAAACCTTGTTTGATTTTTATTTTGATTCTAAATATAAGATTCCAATCAACTTTATTTCTTATATTTATGTATTTTTTTAAGATAATCCTTCTAACAATAATATTTTTAGCCAATACATTTAATTAGTAAGGATATTTTAGAAAAGACAAAACCTATTTACTATAAATAACTAATTTAACTTCTTTTTTTAATCTCTTTAAATTAGTCAACTAATTTTTATAAATAAGACAATAGGTAATATAATTTAATATTTATTTCTAAAGTTGATCTCAACGTAATGTCAGAGAGGGCCGAAAAGGGGCCACCAGCCCGGGAAGCGCTCTTCCTCACTTCCTGATCAAAAGCTATAATGGATGCATGATGAATGATGATCACAAGGTATAGCACTGAAACGACCAAAAGGATAGCGCGGTGCATTTGAATGATATGAGACGCCCCATGTCTGTCCCGAAGTCAATACCCGCCAAAGTCCAAGGCGAGTTACCCTCTACTGCTTCAGTACCTGATTCTTTGTTTGATGAATATTGCTTTCGCGGCCAGCGAACACCAAGAACCCAGCCATTCAAACGAGCCGGAAAGCCCAGCTTAGCCATTCCAGAGACCGAACAGGACGATGGCAGCCGAGTTGAGACGAGCCGGCGTTCCAAATCGACGACGCTTAGGGCTAAGTCCAAGCCCCAGCTCCAGCCCCAGCTCAGATTGAATGCTTTGCCACTATCAGACACTTGTTTTGGAAAAATGAAAATCTTGCCTCGAGATTTCTTTCAAATTGATGCGTTGGACCTTGCCCGCCGTTTGTTGGGAAAGTTTCTTCGCAGGGACGATGTCGTTCTTCAGATCACTGAGGTAAAAAAAAAAAAAAAATCCCGCCACCTTTCCTTTTCCTGTTCCTTATTGGATTGCAATAGGACTGCATCAATGTTTGGGGAATAGTTTTGCTGTTTAGAGCCGGATCAAATAAACCTATGGTGCTGCTCAGAGCAACAAGTCTGGTTGCCCCCCTTCTGACATAGCATGCTTAATTGGTGCAATAAAATTTTTTTGCCTTTTCCAATTTTTTAAGTGAACCATTGTGTGTTGAATGTATCTCTCAGTCAGTTTTTCTGAGGTCTACTCCGAAGTCTGGATGTAGAACAGCGAATCACTCTTATTGAAGACCTCTAATTGTACAATAATTGCTCTGAGATGTTAGGAAATCAGCAGTTTCTTGAACCAAAGCCAACGTCATGAATTCCAATCTGATCTCTTGCAGTAAAATGTACAGGGACTGTTTTTGGCCACTAAACCCACCAGTTGTTTTATCCTATTTTAGAAGGAACATTTTTTTCCACAAAAAAAAAAAAGATTCTTCAACATTCTTTTCCTCATTTGGTTTCTCATACTTCATCAGTTCACTTAGAGAGGAAATGAAAGCACCATGCACTGCGTCTTTTTCCTTTCTCCTTTTGCTTGGCACCATGGAATGGTTGTGCCTCATTACGTGGTTGAGTGTGTGGGACAGGCTGCATTTGGTATTTAACGATGAATTCATATCAGTTAGGTGGAAGCATACAGACCAAATGATTCAGCTTGTCATGGTCGATTTGGCATTACAGCAAGAACTGCCCCAGTTGTAAGACGCTTCATTTGCTCTCTTTTTACGTCCACATTTTGATCTTAATCTCTTGCCTATATTGAACATTTGAGGATTCTGAGTAGTTTGTGGATTAATGTTTCCTTAATGGTTTGTTTCTACTTCGTAGTTTGGACCTGGTGGACATGCGTATGTTTATCTTTGTTACGGTCTCCACATAATGCTGAATGTTGTTGCTGACAAGGAAGGAGCTGGAGCTGCTGTTTTGATTCGTTCTTGTGCCCCCGTTAGTGGTAAAGTTCTATCATTACCTTTTGGTCATACAACTTGTTACATTATTTATTGATGACAGGTAGTGATTCTTAGTCACTTACTCTGCATAACGCTACTTGTAAAGAACCATTGACGTAATAATTGCGGGAGTGATAATGTGAAGAGTTCAACTCGGGGATAATCAAAGCGATAACATGTTGCTAAATCATCAGGATCACTATTTGGCTTCTTTGATACATCAACCTCTGATTCATGGTTCATTTTCCTCCAAAATATCATTAGCATCGATACATCAACCTCTGATTCATAGTTCATTTTCCTCTAAATAACTGTTCATATCTATACTAGTTCTCATTGTAATTAATCTCTGCGTAAGATGTGTCTTTATTATACTTGAGAATATGACAGGATTGGCTGTCATTCAGCAGCGCCGAGGGCAGAAAACTGAGAAACCTGTACTTCTTACTGGCCCTGGCAAGGTTAGTTTCCCGGCTTTCATCTTACCCCACTAATAATTAGTTTGAGATGCTTTGCGTGACCCAACTGGGTTAATAATTTGCTTACTTCTTACCCTCCTTCTCTAGGAAGTTCTTATAAACTATGTCCATAATCCAAGAATCACCAATCTTAAATGCACATTATATTTGTTATCTCACATGTTGTTTTAAGGAAGTAATAATTATAAGCAAAATATTTGTATATGCATCACCATCTGCTATTCCAAAATTGACTAAAAACTTATGATAACGGAAGTTCCGGCTGGACAGAAAGTCAGGAGGAGAAATACAAGGAAGAAAGTACAGAAACTACTACTGTATATTCTCTCTGGCCGTCTTTCTTACTGAGACATCTAGTGGGTAGCGATTATTTCTGTTACAAGATCAGATCGGCAGAGGTTTCAAAACTGATTTAGTGTGATTGTTGTCCAAAATCTAGGTTGGTCAGGCACTGGGTCTTTCAACAGAATGGTCCAATCATCCCCTATATAGACCTGGTAAGCTCGTAATATTCAAAGGCTGAACTGAAATGTAAACTTGAGGAATAGATAAATATCAAGATGAAAATGGGTGAGACTTTGTGATGCAGGTGGTTTGGAAGTGTTAGATGGTCCGGAGCCAGTAAGCATTTTGGTAGGACCAAGGGTTGGCATAGAATACGCATCGCCAGAGCATGTGAGTGCCTTATGGAGATTTGCCATTGCAGGTACCCCTTGGATCAGTGCTCCCAAAAACACTCTCAGGCCACCCTCATAACAACGACGTGCCGCCTGCAACAATGTGGTATTAGGAAGCAGGATTTTTGTCCGTGAAATATGGATTTCCTATGATATTAACCCTTGAATTATGACTAATTAGTAGTAGTAACTAGTTCTGAGTGCGTTATAATCTTGATGTCAACTTAAGCGCGTGAGTGCGTGCATGGAGGAGGGATGAAAAATATGCTACCCAATCTTTTGTTTCTTCTTTAAATTTGAGTTACAAGAAATTTTTGCTTTTTAAATTTGTGCAAAATTAATAAAGACGTTGAATTAAAATTTCATGAGTAAATTTAGTTATAAAATTGGTGAATAAGTTCATTGAAAATGATTCGAGAAGTAGAAATGATCAATCTAACAATATAGAGAATGAAAAAGAGTTTTTTTTTCCTGAGTAACCTCTGCAGATATATAAATATATATATTTTAACCAAAGACTGAGTACAAACATGACATCAAAAAAGCACCATTTAGACCTAGTTTTCTTTATCAACCTCCCCCTCACCTAAAGAATGTGGTTAATTTAGGATATAAAAGTTATTCTCCATATAATGAGAAAGTTTAGCCAAATAATTAGCAATAGGGATAGAGCTCTTAGGAAAATGTATTGGTACAACAATCCAATCCCCTGAAAGGGATAAATACTTTGTCCTTAAAGGGGTAAATACTTTCACAGCCTCTACAGAACAAAGTCAAGGTTTCCACACGATTACTGTAAATCGCTATATTTCCGTACCCGGCTAGTTTTTCTTCACGGCATCCATTATATCATATATAAGTTTATTAGAATTATGTATTCTTCATTATCATACGAGGCCAAAAATGAGTGTTATAATATTATCTTGTAATTTCAATTTTAAAAATATCAAGCTTTATTTTAAAAGAAATTGCGATATCATGTTTCTTAATCCATGTATTGAGGCGCTAATCCCTGGTTAAAAGAAATGCAGCAGTATGAAACTATTCCGTTTCTTCAGAAAGCCAGCGGTTGAGAAGATCAAAGGGAAGGAAATTCCGCTCTATAATTCCCTCAGCTTACATCGATCCAAATACATTTTCTGTCAATATATCCAGAAACATGCACGAAGCACCTTGACTTGCAACCGTATTCATGTTTTCTTCAAAAACAACTGCTCATTTTCCCCGCAAATAGGTGCCATTGTGAGGCAATAACTTTGATTCTTCACCACATATAGCTTGATTTTTAAACCACCTAGCAAAACCCAAGCGCTTGGAAGAGCTGGGAGCTATTGCCACTGCGAAGAGATAGAAGGTGATGCCAAGAATAGATTTTTATTTTTTCCGCATTCTTTTCATCAACCAAAAACTATGATACAGATATACAATCACTGAATTGCCTTGCATGCAAAACCCGCTGGAAATGCCAAATAAATCATAAAATATCAGATAATAGTGTGCATATTGCTGCCCGCCTCCCACACCAAATCAGAA